GCATTTCCTATCTATGCTAAAGGCGTTGTCGCAGACTCAGCGATCAGACTTCCCTTATTCGCGTAAACAACGGGTCATTGGCATTCCATTTCAAATTAATCTATATTTATTGGTTTGATCCAAAAGTGAATGCAGAAAAGAGTTAACCTTGAAAATTGGAGCTCTCGTGCTAGTCTCGTTGGCTCAAGATACCGTTGGTAAACAATCAATTCACTATGATGTTGTATACTTTCTTTTGATCAGATAACTCCAAGGGCAACTTAACGCATAAGTAAAATGAAACTGACTTGTGGGATTCGCCACCTGAGGAACACAAACAAAAATGGCAGTTTGGATCAGTTACACTTTAAGATTTCATGCATCAAGCTATTTTTGTAATCTAAAAATAGTTCTTCCTAGTTTGGTGCACCTTTAGTCTTTCATTGAAAACAATATTTTCTACTTTAACAGTGAATCAATTGGCTCTGAAAACAATACGCTGCCACTGTTTCAGCAGTTTATGTGCGACGATACTCAGCGCCACCTTTGTCAGGCATTGAAGACACAACATCACAACCAGATGAGTGAGGACATTTTCAATGTGACATCCGTGCCAGAGCGCACCATGTTTGATCAGGCCAAGGTGGCTGACTATGTGGCTTCAGGCGCTACGCTGATAAACTCGAGTCCAGTAGACATCACACCAACTTCAAGTGATGAGATTCCTACTCCTGCACCATCCCAGCTCACTACTCCTGCTGTCTTGCCTGTAAATAGCCTGTAAAAATCAGTAATGCAAGTATGATTTACATTTTGTAAGAGTCGCCTCTTAGATTCTTAAATGCTCACCACTTCTGCCTTAGATTGCTCCAGCTGTCGCCGCTGCAACAGCTGCAGCATTGGCAACGCCGCTCTACCAATTCCCGTGCATGCCTTGGATACAGCAGGACCCTACAGCGACTCATGGCAATCCTGCAGCAGCTTACATTCACCCCCAAATAGCAGCTACAGTGCCTCAGAAGGCCGTGGCGGCAACAGCACCACTGGATCTGAACTCCCTCGCTGCAGTCTACCAAATGGCCAGTCTTAGTGCGCTAAACTATGGAGCAACTGCTCCTCCTCAATCCTTTGATATGGTTCTCCCTCTTGTTAACGGGCAGCTTAACGAACATCCCATTGATGGTATGTTGACAGTCTATGCATGCTTCATGGGTTGCATCGGCCTAATCTTTGACATTTTCACCTTGCGGTAAATTACATTATTCGTCACATTACAATACAAATGGTAGAATTGCGTGGACGACCTGCAGTGTAAATGGAGCAAGTGTACATAATTTATCTAGAAGTTGCTCTCAAATAACTCATCTAGCCAAGCTATTATTCCATTGGATATTTTGTTAATATAGAGATCGGATCCATGCATTCCTGACCAAATTGACTGGTCAAACGAGATGTAACAGACCTATTTCATGAGGGACAAATTCTATTCG